CCTATGTGGTTGATCCCGGACGCGCAGAGGCCGCTACTGATGCCTGACATAGCAAAGCACGGACAGACATTGCAGAAGCAACGAGTTTGTTGTCACAGCTGTTTCTTCCACGCGACCTGGTTGCTTCCTTTGCGGATGCTTACTGAGTTGTCAATCGGAGCTGTGGAGAATCGGTTTTCATCCCACCCCACAACCTTCTCTCTCCAGAAGGCTCTTGCAAACGCCACAGTGTGGAGGTTCCGTTCTGAGTTGCACCGCCAGAGACAACTAAGACGGCCCTCCGCACCGAAGATCTCGAAGACGGCCCTCCGATTCTTCTTTGCCCGGGTGTTGCACTTGGGTCGGGCACGGCCAGATGGAAGTGCCCCGTGCTTTTCACAGCCACATCGCGCATCTTAAAATCAGTGAGCATCAATATGGCCCACGCCGACGTGCAGGTGCCTGACCGAAGCCAGGGAGGGCCATAGAAGTGGCCAGAGTTGGATGCCATATCATGGGCCCAATGGAATGGTTCCTGACCCTGAAACCCACGTGGCCTTGCGGGGAACGGGTGCTGCTCAAAAAGGGGCAGCTGTGTAGCTGTTCTGTTTTTGAGTCAGCAAGAATGAGGACAGCAACATCAAGACCAGACTTGGAATCGAGACGTCGAGCTTGCCATTCGACGTCGAGTTTCTGGGGTGTGCAAGGGCTTCGAGTCGAGTGGATTTGGCGTCCCTGCTTTTCCTATAAAGGGTGTTTTTTGGGCAGGTGCCAATCGGATCCCAAATTTGAAGTGGCAAAGACCAGAAGACTAGACTAGAAAGAACCCATAAGACCACAGATCTCCTCGCTGCCCTTTCCAACGAACACTTGACAGGAAGAAGGCTGGTAGAGATGTTCCCTGTCCTAAAGACAGTTTGACCTGCCAGCTTTGCCGTGAAACCACTGAGTGTCCATGCGTTTGACTGTGGGTGAGTGCGGGAAACCTCTGCGGATCAGATCGAAGGTATTCAAGGTATTCCATGCATGTGTGTTGCGGGCCAAGACCATGGTCGCCACCCGAGGCAAAACGTCCTCCTCGCTGGTGGGTCGAGTTTATTTCCAGGCTTCCCGGACCCTGGACGGCACATGTCGCGAGAGCTCGGAGCTTGTTGGTTCTGAACATTGGAGGGCCACCAAGCTCCGGCGGAGGACCACGTTACGAAGATGGTGATGTTTGGAACATGGTCCATTATAATAGCTGGATGTGTATGTCCGCAATCGAAGAAGAAACACACAACATCACGTGATTCATATAGTAGAGTTCACATGCGCTATTGTCCGCATGTCTAGTACAGTTCAACTAACATACAAACCTTCCAACGAAAACACAAGTTGAAACCATGTTGGCCATCTACACGAGGTCTATCTCCTCCAATGGTTTGAATGTTGCAAGCGCCCAAAACAGATTGTCCAGCAAAATGGGTTCTTGAAACACCTTCCTTTCACTGGTTTACCTTGCATGCAAAACAATCCAAAACAAACATCGATTTTGACCTGACAAGGTATATATTGTGCAACATATTGATCATGAGGTGTCTCGCGAGAATCCTGTTTTGTATGTTTTTTTTGGTTTTTTTTTGTTTTTTTCGATTCAATGCAAATGTAACAAACGTTCTCGGAACAACCAGTTACCTCAAAAGGTAGAGCACCCTCCAAACTCACTTGAAACAGTCAACTCCCAAACACCTTTTTTCTAGTTAGGCAATGTAAATAAATCCATGTGGAATCCACTGGCTGTGCTTGTCAGTTCCCTCGTGTCTGTTCTCACCCAGGAACGCTTGACCAGTGAACTTCACGAGCTGATGCCCGGAACGTCCTGGTGTCTGGAGGTCATTGCTTTGGCGCACCGGAAGCACGGCGCCTTCATGGGTGCAGCCCAGACGGGGTTGGTGGAACATCAGATTTGGCGACTCGGTCCGACTCGGTCTGACTCGGTGTTTATGTGAAGCAGGTGAAGCAGGTGGGTGAATGAAGAAGCGGGTGTTTGTTCAGGCTCTTTTTGTTCCAGTGGGTAGAGGGTTTGGTAGAGGTTCCGTAAATATGTAGTGAGTCTCTTTTGTTCTGTTACACTTATACAGGTTTGTGGTCTGGCTTCAGGGAACACCATTGCAACTGTAAGCGTGCGTTCACCCTGTGTTTGGCTAGGGAGACCACCTTGTTCCACATCCCTCAGGTCCAGCTTTTGAACGAGGCAACACCAAGGTGCTTGTGGGAGAATGGTTTCCCTCCGAACATCCACAACTTTTGACGAACCTCGACAGCCAGGATCGGATCCAAAAGCTGCACGTACATGTGCATGCCCTCCCCGGTCACATCCGCTTCCACCCTCCCCAGTCACCATCTTTTCTCCATCGAATCGACGGAACGGTCATACCGTCCACAAAATACCTTTGACGAAGCAACATCAACGAGCTCCATTGCCGACTTTTGTTGTCTCAGGATCTCCTACGAAGAATATTTGGAAAAGGGCCCCACTCTCGCCGCTTCCCGCTTCATCGACTGACGCGGTGTGAGCCGGGCGGGAGTCGTGTGTGCGCGGTTGTTCACTTCTGTGGCGCGGAGGTGGAGGAGCACAGCTTGTAGAAGCCCGTGGTGTCTATACAATTAATAGGTTATAGATTATTATAGTTGTTTTTGTTGTTTATGTGTTTTTGTGTATTTTTCGGGATTAGGATAAGGTGTAATTGGGTTGACATACCCAAACTGCAAACGATCAATTTGTTGCAAATCTCCGACCAAAGACTTGGGAATGCCGATGTGTGACATGTTGTGGATCAACCTGCGAAGACGCATTTGTAGTTACGGCACGTTTGGACCTGAATACTGACTGGGACTGTGTCCGTTGTTTCCATGCCGTAAAACAGAGTCATACAGAGTCTACGGACTCCAACCGTCTACAGCCCTCGAAAGACACGGGTGCCCATTGGTTTTCATATGCTAGCGATGTACTTTTGCCCGTCCGTGGCACTGGATGTACTCATCAAAATACATTTGCCAATGCACTTACATGCAATGTCCATGGTACTCCTGACCAGAAACATGCTTGACTGAGGTTGTTTTGAGTTGCTATTTTCTTACCCTGAGAGAATGAACCAGGTGACATTGACATGGCCGATTATCTTCAATACTGTAATGGATTGCCGCTATCAACTTGCCTACAATCCTACAGATGTCCTATACAAAATATAAGATGTGTCGCCCTGTGATCCCAGCCACCTCTACCAGGACTAGATCCGTTGAGTCTTTTGCCCCACAGTGAAGTCATGGTCTGATTTCAGAGACGAAACCCAGGTCTTCCTGTTGAATCCTGAGGCTGTTGGATTTCCTGTTGGACACTCGGACCAACTCGTAGCTCTCCACTCTGCTCCTGTTCCCAGTTGAACACATATATGAGATGCGTCTGTTGGAGATTCGAGAGATTCACGGGCCGAAAGGCTGGTGGATTGTGACTTGCGAATTGCGTTGATCTTGCTTTTAAGAAGAGTACACTCCAAGTGACTAACATGGAAGTGGATGACCTGGGTAACCACCTGTTTGTAATAGTCTGCTGGAAGGACCAGTGTTCACTTTCATTTGGGTCAGTTGGAGGGTAGAGGTGGACGGCCAAAGATGCCAAGTTCACTGGTTTGTTTCGGACGCTGCACCAAAAACAGATTCGGTGCTCCGTCCTTGATCCTCCATGCAGCTGTGCTGAAACAGACCTTGTGTTGCAGGAGTTGTCCCGATGAGATACAAATGTTACATAGACAATAGATAATGATATATATATACCCTAATCTTCAGACTACGCTAGTTACCTAAGTAGTTGAGCAACTACGCTAGTTACCTTAGTAGTCCCGGACTACGATGATAAACCTTTCAATCACGCTCAATAACGATTCAACTTCATGACCTAACCTTGGTGTTTGCACAGATGTGTTCACCCCACTGTTCAGCTTTCAGAACACGACCGAGAAGTTACTAGGAACAAAGGGCATCGCTACGTAGTTCACCACCGGGATCGCACGAGCCTCACCGATCGACCGGCCGTCCGTCTGTGTTAGACAGCCCCCCCCCCTTCCCTCAGAGTTCTTGGCGCATTTTTTGCTGAGATCACTGCCTCCGGTTCACAACTTCAGCGAGTTTCCACTGTAGCATTTTGTATCGTAGTCTGGCCAGCTTGAGAATCCCAACAGCACGCCCTCCTTTCCAAAGCATTCGTGGTTTGGCGCTGGACTTACAATGGCGCGCCCATTGTTTCAACTGTCCCATCCAATCCTCATCCACGTAGGTATGCACAAAACGGGGATTTGAACCTTAGATTCATGCTCCAGTCGATTGATTCCAAAACATTGTTCCATAAAACAGTAGTACAGTGGCTAGCTTTTTTGGGTGAATGACTACCCAGAATTCCCCAGCTTTGTCAGGGTCATCAGCCAAAACACGGTAGATCCGGACCTGCTCCACGAGGCAGTGAGCAAAACTGTGCCACTTCGGCACGATGACCCACATCAGCTCCCCTTTCCTAGACTAGGGTATCAGGCATTTTGTTTTATAAATAGTCTAGTCTACACACCAGCCAGGAACCAGAGTTCAAGAACATTTTCAAACAGCAGTCCTGGCAGAAAGTGAGTTGAGATAGCGGTAGTGGAGCAAATAACTCCGCCCAGCAGTCTCGATTGCATCGGCTTCTGCAAAACTCCTTACATGTCACTGGTTGACCACCAATTATATCAGCATAGATTCATTTGGACCAATGTTAAGTCAAAAACAATTCATTGGTACGCCCTACCTTCCCTTCCCAGATAGAACCCCGACAGTAAACTGTTTTGGAAAAATGATCAGAATCGTGGTTTGGGGATTTGGGGCATCGGTTCAAACCACCGCGATGTGAGCAAAACCACCCACCAAAGTGTGTCCACACGTTTTCATGTTTTATAGTGGACTAGTGCACCGCGCACCGGATCATGGCGGACAAAGCATCAGCTTCCTGGAGGCGCGCTCGACCAAGCCGAAGAAACGGTTCACACCTTTCCTGGGCGTCAGATAGTTTCAACGATAATAGTTGTTTTTTCTTTATAGTTCTTTTTGTCGGACTATGGCACATAGTACTATGGCTATGCGTTTAATCAAAAAACTTTATGTTTTTAAGTCTGGTATCAGGGCCGCTTGTGTGTAAATGAGCCGATCGTCAGCCTTCATGTGAGGTGGGGGAGTAGACACAGCCCTGTCCAAACAATCCTCGAGCCAACTGCTCAACACCCGAGCTGCATAGCCCTTGGTGTTCATATAGGCTCCATATTCATCCTTGAACACGGACCAAAAGCTGAACCGTTTCACGCAGCAGACAACTTTATGGGTACGCCTCCAGTTCTGAAAGTCACGGTAGGCCTCCTCACAAGCAGACCGGTATCCATTGGGATCACTTCCACGAACAACTTCTCCAAAATAGTGCATGTGGAGCAGCATGGCCCTCAGGTATTGCCCAGGGTCACACCACAGTATCATCGGTAACCAAAACAAAATAAAAACAAAATCACTTGAACTAAACTCCAAAACACATACAATGTGTTGCGTCAATCAGCGGGGCACATGGTTGACCCATTGGATATATGTAATAGACCCAAATTCAGTATATGCAATGTGCATGGTTTGATGCTGTTCATCGAGAAGAAATGAAGCTGAGTGAGTGGGCCTTGGCGCATTAAAACATCAATGAGTGATGTTTGCAAAACAAATCTCTAAAAGATTGTTAACCCAAAAAGAAAACAAACAAAAATGCTAAGGCCTTTACACCGCCACATCAACCAAACATAAAACCAGTCATGGCTTCCCCAAGTGTCTCATTTGGTCTGGCAACTCCTCCACTAGGAAATCCATCGTAGATCGAAGCGTCGGCAGCCACTTGTCATAGAACAAATAGTTCACATCGGTTGCCCTGGTCGAGGCCTGGCATCTGAAGCAAACTGGTACACCTTGCCAGGAGCTCCGGTGTTGGAACAGAAACTTTATCCATACCTGATCGCCTCGAAGTTCGGTGACAATGAATCGTCTTCCAAGAATACCAGTTTCTAAGCAGCGGTTGAGCGACGCAACTATCTCAGTCAACACAGGATTGATCGTCCGGTGGACATCCACAATTCTCGAATGTTCCACACTGAAGAGTAAATATCTGGAAACCAATGTCGATCGAGGCCTAAACAGAGGCACATTCATAAATACTCCGAGAATCTTGTCAAAGGGAGCGTTCACTAAGCCAATGTTTGCTTCATCTCCGTGAATTCCAATTGGCCATACCTCCTGGTCAGCCAAGCGCCTCAACTGGCGTGAGGACACAGCGACCTCATCGTTCACATCATCCAAATGCTGCCAATAGTTTCTGCATAGTTGATCAGGAATGTTAAGGCCGCAATCGTGCATTAGAAACTTCAATATATCATGGGGCAAAAGACATGGAAGTGTACCCGGCACTGTCTTGTGACCATCTCTGAACTCAACATTGACCGTGATGGGCTCCTGAGAAGAGCACTTCCGGTGTATTCCACATCGACAAGGGCACGTGTAATTAAACACAAATGTCAACTATTGTTTAACAAAACTATGCATAAAACATCTAACAATAGACCTGGTCCAAGGATCCAAGGGAAGAGGTGTATTGTAAAAAAAATTCCGTGCTGAGTTCCGCCCTGGAGCATAGCCAGCAATCTTTCTGACCCACCCGCCGGTCTGCCCTTTGCTTTCCTGGAAAAAATATACACAAAGAATACAGGACCTAGTCGCTGGTACCAATAGAGCTCAGGTTAAAAAAAAACAGTGACACACACTGCGCTGTTACAAGTCGTTGCTTGAGTTTCCGCTACAAGCAAATGATGAGGGTCCTTAGTCATTTTGTAGAGCTGGTACACGCGCTCACCAAAACCTTTTGGATAACATTGGGTGGCTCGAAGTCCCGGTCCACCAGACCTTGATACAGTGTGTTTTTCCCTAACATGAATTAAGAATATTTAAGAATCATGTAGCCATCGTATGTCTGAGAAAAGGACACTGATCGATTACCATTCTTGTTTGTTTTGGTGACGGTCACTTTGTAGTTCTTGACATTCTGCTTCCACACACTGCGCTGTTTCTTGGTGGGTCTCCGCCACAGGCATGCCAGCCACGGTCTCAGTAAAATTATGAATCGATGAGTCTACACCACACATGTGTTCAGGCGTGGTGTGACGTGGTCGCAGATCTGAGAGCACGGCGCGGTCCCCCAGACTCTCGACGGTTTTGCAGTCGGAGAACCATAGATGCCCATCCAACTAGGCTTGGCAACAATGATCAGTGACATCCACTAAACATATTTGGTGTCATACAAATCAACATACTTGGGACTCGGGACCCGGCAAAAAGTGTTCTTTCCAAATATGACCCAGACATGCTCCAACCTGTTTCCCTGTTCCAACCAAATCCGGATAGTATTTCATAAGTGAACCCGACGGGTTCTCTATCATGACATACACACCCCTGGCCGTTGCCAGGATGGCCAAGAGCAACGCTCGGGAACATAGCCTTGGATCCAAACCAGTTCAAGTGAACTCTGTATTTAATATGGTGACCTGCGAAACAAACGACTCCTCAATACTGCTCAACAAGCAAACCTGACATGAAGGTCAAGTTTCAAAGATCCCATTTTGACGTAGGCCTTGCTTTCATCACCATAGGGCCGGTCCCTGCTTCGGGCAGAGGTTCCAGAATTCATGAATGAAAACGACGTACAAGGAGGACCCATGGTAATCATTCCATCTGGAAGGCAACGAAGTACATATAGGATAGCTCGACAGAAACCTGTCCTTGGCTTAGAGGATTCCAAAGCCTACGGTCAGCACAGTGGTGAAATTCAATTTAGGATGGGACGTCGTGCTCAAGTCGTGGTCCTCGCCAAACTTCAGGTCCATGAAAGCCCTTATTAGCAGCTTGGGTAGTTGAGATTTCCTCCCAAAACTGAACTTTTAAGTTCTAGGTCCACCACGTTTTACATTGCCGTCTCCCTGAATGCAGCGAAGCGAACTATTGGTGTCCGAGGTCCAAGATTGTCATCCAAGCGGTCCAACTACAATCAGGCTCAGACTGAAGGCAGCTTCCACTGCTCGTTCTCCACAAAAAAGATCGAAGCACTCCAAGTCCTGTGATGAAACATTATGAAACTATATGTACAGGGATCGATGTTCACAGTTAATTTAGAGTATGGTCATGCGTAGATAACCTTAGGACATCACTCGATCGTGGTGCTTGTAGCTGATTTGGGCAACAAAGTCCGCCAGATCCAACCTCCAATAAACTAACAATTGAATCTGTGGACGATAAGCGGAATTGGTCATGTGCACGATTGGCTGGGGACCTGACAGTGTTTGTGGCGCTCCCATATTCAAACACATTTGGGCTGCAGTCAAAGTGAGTGCCAACTGGCTCAGGCGCCATTGACGAACCGGCATCCCGATCCTCGCAAGACTTCAAGGCCTGCCAGGCCTGCTGCTGGATAGGCCAGTCGGCTTGAACAAAATGGGTGAACAGTCAAGGCAAAAAAATCCAAGGTGTTACAGGTGTTACATTTTTTGAACATGTTTGGTTGTGGCTATGTTTCCCAAAGGCCTTGCAAAAAGGAACGTTGACTTATTGTTTTCATCCGGCACGAAGGCTTCCTAAGCTAGAGTTGCCACCAAAGAAGATCCTATTGATCTTGCCCCCAAGGCTATCACTCCCACTGATCCGATCCTGGCCAACTTGAAGGGACATGATCAATACCGTTAACACGCTCAAGATTAGCACACATGATGACATACACCTACTCACCTGCATAGTGTTTTGTTATGTTTTGTTAATCACCTATACCAGGAGCTTGATGGGATAGCCATCAAATAAGATTGTTCCCACACCTCATTTCGAGATGCGAGGTTAGAAATCGTGAACCGAGCTCCAAAAGCTCAGAACTTCAACCACTTAGCCAAACGTCTCGAAAAGTCCCACCTCAACCAGTGCAGGTTTGGTGTGAATGTATAGCTATTTGTTCTACATGATTTCTAGGCTTCCAACGCTGCGCTCACACCACCGTGAACTTGCCATCCAACTGAAGTGCCACCGCTTCCGTTGATCTGGCAGGTTACTATACTGGATCTTTACCGAGCTCATTGTGACTATACAGGCCTTGAAAGACTTGTTGAACTGAGTGTTGACGGCGTTGACGGTCGTCTCATCCACATGGTTCACGTAGAAGGACCCCTGAAGCCTCATGGATGACACACATGAATTTAGGAAGGACATGTAATGATACCAGCTGCCAGCTTAGTGTGTGACAACACTTGGATGGGAGAGCAATCTTCGTGACCAAGCTCTTTCAGGTCTTCGGGTACGTCCACAGTCCATGACCTAAACAAAGTACAAAACCCAAGAGATCCATCTCGAGTAAAACATCGTTAGCTTGGGCTTTGGCATGATTCCATTCAGCTTGTCCTCTTCGGGCACCACACGAAATTGATTGGACGGAGTTGCTAGGGATGTAAGCTGAGACAGGCTTTGTGCACGCTTCTCCTGCGACAAGTTTGACTGGAGTTCAGGGTTGTGGTCTGATGGAAAACTAGCCTCTCGGTAAATCTTGCGTTTCTTAGCAGCATCTTCTTTCTTGTCCTGGAAGAAAATACAAAACAATATTGTGCAAGAAGTCAGAGGCAACGTAAACATATGAATACCGACCAACTGCCATCACAAGTGAATATCTCTGAGTGTTCTCCTCCAATTGTCTTTTGGCAGCCTCTTCTTCTTTGCTTTTTTTGTCGGTCTTGTCTGTCCCTTCATTCCCTGTGATCTTCTGCTTTCGGACTACGGTGATCTTACGCCGAATTGTTTTCTTCGGCGATGAGTCCTTCTGTTCATCTTCTTGGTCCCTCTCCCGTTTCAATTTGGCATCTTGTCTTTCCATCTCTGGGTCCATTCCTGCAGGGGCCTCTTCATCAGCTGATTGATCCGCTGATTCAGCCAGTTCTGGTGCCTGTCCATTCGTTGGTGTTTCTTGTTGTTTGTTTCGCCCCCTTCCTCTTCCTCTTCCTTTTCCTCTGCCTCGGCCTCTTCCTCCTTTAGTCTCTGCCTCTTCTTTTCGTAGTCTTCTTTGTTCTTCCCTCAAAGCTTTCTGACCCTCCAGAAGTTTCTTGATTTCTTCCTCAGAACTCTCAGCGTCGGTTCGCAGAAGCTCCGGAACTTTTTTGAGCAAAGGCTTTGTGTCCCTGAATGTGCCACTTGTTCTCAAATCGGCACCATCCTCTGGCTCTTCCTCATCATCTTTCCCAAAGTCCTCTTTGAACTCTCCTACCTTTGCCATGCGCTCCTTTTCGTCCACCTGTAGCTGATGTGACAAAGCTCGAGCTGCAACACTGTGAATTTGTTGCTCACGAAATGCATTTTTTGCTTTGTCATCACCTCCAACACTTTCTGCGATGTCACCGATAAGTTTGCGCATTGCCGCAGTTTCCTGGAGTAGCTGAGCCTCTGCACGTGTCCGTGCTGTAATCTTCTTGTCATGTTCGTCCAAGAGAGACTGGAATTCCTCAGCGGACTTCGAATCAGAATTCTGTTTGGCTTCTTCAATTTTTTTTACATAGTCCATGCGTTGATGCTTTTCATATTCCTCTGTTTTCATGCCATCCACTTTCAGCAAAGACATGAGATGCTGAGCTGTTGCAGTAATTTCTTTCTTCCGAAGTGAATCACTCAGCGTCAGTAATTTCTCCTCCTTCAGCTTTTCTTCTTTTGCCTTTGTCTCTTCGAAAAGCCTTTGTTCTGCTTTTTCTTCTTCTTCTTGTGCCTTCAATCTAATCCGCTCCGCCTCCTTCT